AAAGTCTATAACGAATATACCTGATTCAGAAGCAACGGTTCCGTTCTTCTTATCTTCCTTGAACTTGAGGCAATCTCTCTTCCAATGTCCCTTCTTCTTACAATAGAAACATTCGGAATCATATTTAGAAGACGCTACCTTCTTATCCTTGGTAGCTTTAGCTTAGGCAGAAAAGTTTTCTTCTTACCTTTCCCCTTAAAGCCTTTCTTCTTCTTGCCCGAAAATTTGAACAGCTTTCCCTTTTTAATCATGAGCATATCATGCTTCCCCTCATCCTTGAGCGTTTGCTCAGCTTGCTTCAACATACCATGAAGCTCGGTGAGGGTTTTCTCCATGCTGTGTATATTATAGTTCATCTTGAACTGATCATAGCCTTTGTGCAGCGAGTGGAGAATGATGTCAATTGCCATCTCAGTTGAATACCCCGCATCAAGCCTTCCCATGTTTTCAAACAATCCAATCATTTTGAGTACATGTGGGCTGACTGGCTCTCCTTTCTTGAGCTTGCTCTCAAGGATCTGCCTACGGGTTTCAAACCTTTCAGTTCCGGCCTGCTCTTGGAACATATTCTGCAATTCAGAAATGATCTCAAAAGCCGTCTCCTTTTCAAAGTAAGTCTTTTGAAGCTCAGGAGACATTGTGGCCAACATGATGCATTTGACATCACGATTGGCACTTTGCCATCGATTTAGGGCAGCGTGAGTCACCTCCTCATTGGAAGCCTCGAGCATTTCCTCATCAAGGACATATTCCTTTTGCTCTTGCATGAGAACAATTCGCAAATTCCTTTGCCAATCAAGAAAATTAGGCCCACTCAGCTTCTCCTTGTCGAGAATTGAGCGTAACGAGAATTGGTTGTTTGAGTTATTTGAAGACATGATTCTACAATTGAAAGAATTTGTAATGAAAAACCATTCATTATACTTAAATAAGATTGAATTCATGCATTTTAATCAAACTTATTTAAAACGTCTTATTCACACATTAAAGATTGTCCCCATTTTAGGTGAGAATAAGTCGATTCCAAGATCCAAAGAAACAAAGAGTGGTTAAGAATGCTTTGGCTTGTCTTAACACTCAATCTCCTAAGGTAAGAAACGCTTTGCTAATGGCTCCAAGCCACTCTTGGTTGAATAAATCGTCGCATCCAATGCTCTCTAAACAATTTATTCACTTTGCCACGACATGTTAGGACTCCATCACTCATATCGTTGAGTATAACCAAAACCACCTTGCATACCCGGTATGCCTTACGTTCCTTGGAGAAGTAGTGATGCCTCGCTTTGGCGTAGCCCACCACTACCCTCGTTCGGTTGGTAAGTGTGTTTTGGAATGACAAGTTTTACTCAATATTTTAGGGACCTAGGGTTTCTATGTTGGTTAATTTAAGTGAACTTAATTAATCATCTCAACATTCGAAATCCTAAACATGCATCTAACATATAATTCATATATATAAACATATATATTGAAAACATAAATAGAGATGCATTTGGCAACTAGCATGACCCCTTGAGATCTTCAAGTCTTCAAAAGGTCTTCATTTGCAACTTCATGGCTTTGTCTTCTAAGAACCTCGTCTTCAAGACTTGACCAAAATATTACAATTGCTAGTATCTACGATTAGGACTAATCTAAATATTAAGGTACAAAAATACTCAACGGTTCGCAGACTGTATTTAGATTTACAAAAATACATCACGGATCACATTCCGTATTTTCTATCCTAGTCGGGCCCTACTAGTTGCCATTTCATAAAACCTGTGAGAGAATTTTACATTCCATTCATACATTCACTATCTGTGAATGGCCCATGCATTTTACAACGATAAACAAGTAACAATGCATAAAACGCGCGAGAACTAGTAACTAATCTAGGTGGTTAATCCAATTAACACGCCTAATTAAACTAGTCAAAGTTGTGTTAACCGGTTATGGTAATAACTTAGAGACGCTCCCACTAAATTCCGCATCCAACTTAACTAATCCAATTAATTAAGTCGGTGAACCCAAATATTTGCCAAAATTAATTTTGCAAATGTCGCTCAAAACCCGAGGCCTAGCCTCCAAAAATTTTAATTAAATAAACAAAATAATTAAAATAATTAAAACGACAATTTTAAGCAAAATTACGTATTCCACAATGTCTAAGTGCCTAGCACTAAGACTTGGAGTCCAAAAAATACCCTTATTTACATATTAAGCAACGCTAAAATTAACTTTAAAATAGCATCGCCTTAATAACCCGGGGTTATTGTGCCAATTATGGGATTGTACGTACCGTACAACAAGCACGTAGTATGCCCACGCGCACCCCCGCAACACCAAGCATGCATGTGGGCTGCTTGTGCTCGCATGCGCCACGCCCAGCCCAGCCAAGCGTAGCAGCACGCACAGCGCGCATAGCCTTATGTTGCTGCTGCGCCATGCTGCTGCTTGCTGCTGGCTGGCGCGCTATGCTGCTGGCAGCAAGCAGCAGCCCACGCCCTTCCTCGCACACACACACACGCACAGCACCAAGTACCTAAGAACGAAGTGCCCAGCAGCCTCGACACCCACATATGGGTTGCGTGAGCAGCCCAGCTGGCCGAGAGCTAGCTCGGGGCTCTTAGGCCTCGTGTTGTGTGCTAATGTTTCGAAAATTATCGATTTTGTGTGTGACATTATAAATCAATTCTAAATTAATTTTAGAATCATTTTTGAGGAAAAATGAAAAATAACAAGTCCAACTTAAATAATTCATCCAAAAGCAATTAACCAAATTTATTTCCAAGAACCATTCTTTAATAAAATTGGTTTAACGTGGTGTAATAAAATAAATTAGGGCAATTCTCACTATTAATTTAATCATTTTAAATTAATCTTGAGATTTTGATAAAATAAAAGGGAGTTGGAAAAATGAACATAAGTTTAATAAAGACTCCAACTTTAATACTTGTGACTCCATGAAAAAATTATATCTTCCAATATGAAGATAAACCAATTTCAATCACAAGTTTTAAACTTTATGATTCCAATCAACTAAAAAATGATTAAATCAACAAAGTTTAACCAAAATTCATGGAATTTAGTAACTCAAAATTTCAATCACTTATCATAAATAAAGATTGAATCTTTAGTACTTGGAAGCAACAAAGAACAACTATTTCACACTTAATGCAATTAATTTGCAATTATGTGAAAAAATAAAACCAAACTTTCAAGCACCAATTACTACCAAGTAATCATGCTTAAAGTGGTCTAAAATTGCATATAAATTAAGGAAAGAACCAAATACATAACCACCATAAATATGCAATCAATTTTCAAGGTTAGAAATACTTAAAATTTTTCGTCAAAACGAAAAATCCCTCGAAAAATGCATTTCTGGTCGTTTTTTGGCTAAAAACCGAGTCCTGAAAGAGAAAAACCATTTCCAGAACGCCTTTTCCACCCAAAATTCACTATTTTTGGGTCGAAATCTGGGTTCAGGAGCTGAAGACAACTCTAATACGAGGTAAAAATTGGAAAAACGAGTTACTAATCTAATTAGCAAATTAAAACCAGAAAAATTAAGCCATAAAAACACCTTGAAAATATTATGATTTTAAAAATAAACGAGCGAGGCTCCGATACCGCTGTTGGGGTTTGGTGAGTCTGACTCACCGCGGAAACAAACCCAAAAACAAGACCGCACTCGCAATAAATAAAACCATAAACATAATTAAATTAATCACAAGATTAAGATAAGCTAATTACCTTTGACGCGTGCTTCGCTCCAAAATGAGCTCTTACTTGAAAGCTTCAAGTCCCGCTCACACGGAGACCTCCAACGAAGTCCACCCGCACCAACAAAACCGACTAGGTCCAATGTCTTGGGGTTAGCAAGACCCGACCAATAAAACCCGAGTAATTATATTGAGTTCAAAGGTTTTCACTAATTGTGATGCCTTTTCCAACTCTTACTCAAGCATCATTCCCAATGCCCATACTTTGGTATTTATAGGAAATGATGGGAGTATCATTTACTCTCCCATTAATGTGGGATAGTATGATTTTTCCATTTTATTTTAAAGCTAAAATAAAATTAATAATCAAGCTAGTAATAAATCAACAAGTGGCAAGCTCATGTGAGTGGTTAGGTGAGGACCACTTAGAGAAGGGGGGACCAAACTTGCTCCCCACTCCCTCTCCCATAACCGGCCACCTCACTCCACACACACTCAAGGACCACTAGCCACATGGCACCCACCCTTGGGCACCAAGGCAGCCAAGGTGGGCTGCCATGTGCTGCTGTCCGTGGCAGCCACGCCCAGCAAGCCCAGCAGGCCCAGCACTCGCATGCGGGCTGCCAGGCGCTGCTGGCTAGCAAGCCTAGCATGCTTGTGCGGGCTACTGCTGGCCTTGTGCCTTGGCCAGCGCTGCTAGGCAGCAAGCAATGGCCTAGCCATGCTGCTGCTAGCTGTGGCGAGCTGGCGCGCCTAGCGTGCTAGCTGCTGCAGCTTGTTGCGGCATGGCTTGCTAGCCATTGCGCGCACAAGGCTGCGCCTAGCATGCTAGCACGCACTAGGCAGCGCCTAGCCTTTGCGATGCTAGCATGGGTGCGCTAGCACACACTAGCCAGCCTAGGCTCGGCTTGGTGCGCATGCTAGCCACCATGCTAGGCCATACGCCCTTAGCACTCGGTTTGCTTGGGCATTCCGATGCTAGGGGTATTTTGGTCTTTTGTTGATTTATTACTATTTCTCGTCTCGTCTTTTACTATTTTTTGACTCGAATTCCGACGCTCGGTTTCGACACTCTAAGCTCGAATTTCCGACGTCTAAATAAATATTACTCGGTCGAATCATTAATTCCTTCCAAATTAATTCGTCGGTTTGGTTTGTTGAATGCTTGGGTGTGACCCGAAGGGTTCAGTCAAGATTAAGCTGTAATATTAATTATTCATTAATATTACTGATCGGAAGCGGCCTCCACCCAGGCATTCCGATCACTTGACCTCACTGAAAATATTAGCTTTCTAATAATTCTGAACCCACTAACGGAATAATACACTTGTTCGAAGGACACCATTCCTTTCATTTTCTTCTAATAATCCCATATTTGGATTATTCTGAAATAACTTGAACATTGGGGATTGTTTGCTTTCTTTAATCCCAATGACCGGTGACCGATTGAATGCAAATTTTTTATTTAATTTTTTTAAAAGTCACGTGTCACAAGTGAATTGGTACAAATTTTTTAAAAAGATAATAAAATAAAACATTTTACAAAAAAAAAAAATCACCCAGCCCCTACCCCCTCACGCCGCCTCATCCCCTTTCTCCCCCACACCAATAACTGCAACCCTTAAACGACCACCCTCCCATTCCCTATCCCTTGAAACGACCTCACTCACAAAACTACCGGAACCGAAACCGCGGTGCTTGAAGTTGTTGCGAGTTGGGCAGTGGTAACGAGAGGTTGTGATAGTGGCATTTAGTGGTCGATGCTAGGAGTGAGGATGTTGTTGTTGTTGCGAGTTGGCTGGGCAAAAGTAGCCGGTTGTACGAAGGTGGTTGGTGGTTATTGGGCGAAAGAGTGAGCGATAGCTCGAGTGTTAGAGCTTCCCTTCCGATTCCAAGTGATCCTGAGATTGATTCTCACCCCGCCCCCGTGGCTATCTAAACACCAATAAAAAAACAAAATAAACTGAAAAAGAAAAAAAAACTAAAGTATAAAGTTTACTAAAAAGGGTATATTCCTAACTTAATTATTTATCCTACTCTTATACCAAATAAAGTTCAACACGTACTATTTTATCCTTATATCATTTACTCAAATTTTTCTGTCCTCTTATCTTATTTATTTGTATGCGTTGAATTACAAACTTTTAAATGAATCTGGTTCACACTAATTTATTGTGAACCACTAACATTAGAGACACTATGGTTGTTTTATTAATAGAAAAAAAAGTCACTATATCAAAATAAATAAAGGTTATTATGTTGAATAAAAGTCATTTGGTATATAATGGCCATAAGAGGTTAAGTTTCGTTAATGAATTTTTTACATACTGATCAATATGAATAATAAATAATAAAGGTCACCACGTTAAAATTAGGATATATGTTCAACATTTCAAGTTGTTTACAGTAACATTATAGGTTATTCAAGTTTAAATAAAGGTTACTATTTTAAAGTTAGGGTCACTAAATTAAAATTAGAATTACTGTTATATCACTATTAAATAAAGCTGATCTCGCAACCAGGCCATGAGACGACAACACTTGGCATTCTAGTTTTTCGCCAAGTGTCAAGCCACATCAATTACAAATAAGTATTATTATGACACATAAAATAGTAAGGAAGAGAATTTTGGATAGATTTTTAAGATAAAAAATATTGTATAGAGGTTTATTATTGATATGATATGCTTCTAATATTTCACATATACTCCCTCCGTTTTTAAATACTTGATCCAATTTCCTTTTCCGACCTTTTTTAAATAATTGCTTCATTTCCCTATTTGGAAAGCTTTTACAATATTTAATAAATTTCTCTCACCTAGTGGACCCACCATTAATTATATTTGATTAATTTCATGTTATCTCTCCTCCAATTCTCTCCACTACTTTTGCTTTTTACAAGTTTTTATTCTTTCACCTACCCCACTACCTCCACATTTTATTACTTTTTCCAATTTTTCCTAAAACTCTGTGCATGGAGAAATGGAGCAAGTATTTAAAAATGGAGGGAGTACAAAATTAATCATAACTTTTAATAAATATCCTATAATCATGTTCTAATTCATCATAATTTTTTTTTTTTTAAAAAAAAGTTCATTAAAATAAAATCCATTTTAGTATATTTAATTTATTTTTAAAAATAAATACAAAATCGATAAGAAAAAAAATAAGTTTTAATTAGTAAAAATAATTTTAGTTTGGTAAAAATTAAATAATTTCAGTTCAGTAAAAATAATCTAACTTTGATAAAAAATAATTCAAGTCTATAATAACATAGATATCTACTACCTCTATGTCTTATTATTCGCATCAAAGGAATATTTTATGTCTTACAAATAATACCCTTTATTGCAAATAATAAGAAATAAAGGTAGCATTTATAAATAAAACTACATAAAGTACAAATAATAAACACAAATTCTTATATATGTGGTTGGGCACACAGTGTCACCAACCATCATCATCGTTAGTGTTATAGGGTTTACTCGGTCATTGTAATAAGGTTACTCGGTTAGTATTACAAGTGTTACTCGGTCTGTGTTATAAGGGTTAGTTTATTATTTTACAAACGGCCACATGGCCTGGTGTGGCCAGCCGCATATATGACGCGTTGCAATTATTATATAAATAAGCGATATGATATTTAATATCTAAATATTTTGCATTATCAAAATGAATTATGACCTTATTTAATATTTTAACATTCAAGCCAAAAAAATTTATCAACAATCTTGTATAGCTGGACACAAAATTAGTACGTATTCAGTATTTGGTGCGTATAAACTCAGGTCCACAATAATATGGTCCACGCAAGTTTTTGTTGCCGTTAAACCAAACACCCCGTAAATGAAATATGCTCCACGAGAAGAAAAATCCCTAAATGATCACCAAAATGTTACCTGAAAGCGGCAAATATAATAGTCATCGCCATAAGCATCGCGAAGAGCATCAACTGGCTTGGCTTTAGGATCCCGGGGAGAGAAAGCAACACTAAGATTCACCACCGCCTTCACGCGATCAGGCCGAAAGAGGCACAACCACCAAGCAATCATTGCACCCCAATCATGGCCTACCACAAAAACCTCCTCCACCCCTAACTCATCAATCAAAGCCACCAAGTCACCAACGATATGCCCGTAAGTGTAGCTATGGAAATCTGTAGGGGCATCTGTATCGCCGTAGCCCCTCATATCAGGGGCTACGGCATGGTAACCAAGAGCCGAGAGGTCCATGATTTGGTACCTCCAAGAGTACCATAATTCAGGGAAACCATGAAGGAAGAGTACAATAGGTGCCCCCTTAACTCCTTTCTCGGCTACATGCATGTTTATGCCATTCACATGAACTTTCCGGTGTCTTATGCCGTCGAATGTTTCCATTTAGCTCTTGCTAAAGTTTAGTTTTTAGGTGGATAATGAAGGTGGTTGGTTGGTTTAAGATGTTTGTTGAGGTCTTATTATTTGTGGTACGTACTTAAGAACTTTAAAATTAAAACGTGATGAACAAGGACGACTAAGGAGTAGACAAAGTGTCATTATCTGTATGAAAGGTGCATGAATTCTAGCTTTCACAATTTGTTGTGTCATAAATTATGTGGTGTCGTTGTGTAACTTCTTTCTTCACAATTTTGAAATATATGTGAATGGTGTGTATGCTTTCTCCTAATGTATACATACAATGACTAGACATGAAAGTTACTACTTCCTCTGTTTTTCTAAATGCAACACTTAGCTAGTTAATGCAATATTTTGACTTTTACACCATTCATATATTTTACTTTTACTAACTTCGATGAATTATAATTAAAGAAAAATATAGTTATGTGTGATGTTACTAAATTTGTCTTGATTTATAGATCACTATTTAATTTTTAAATATTAGTAATAAAAATATGAAGTATTAATAATTGAAACAACAGGGCTTGTCCCTCGTTTCGACCAAAATAATACCCAAAATTGCACATAACATTTAACGGAGGTAGTATATCTCTTGACTCCCATTAATTGCCCCCTTTTAATCTTCATACGCTACGCACACTTTTGTAATATTAACGTATTCTCACATCTCTTACCTTTACAAAAGTTATAGGAAAAATTGATTCTAATAATCCCACCTTTAGCCGGTTCGCGGTTAATAATCTTACCTTTAGATTATTATTTAATAATCCCACCTTTATATAGGATCCTCTTCTATTAATCCCAAACCTGTTGGTAACCGGTTTTAAGAGGTTAAGATGCCATATGTCGTTTTTTAATTGGCTGAAAAATTAAACTTAAAAAAAAAAACTGAAAAATTAAAAAACAAAACTGAAAAGATAAAAAACAGAACCCATCACAGCCACGGATCCACGCCCACCCACTGTGAACCCAAACCTCACCCTAGCCCCACCAAAAACGGCCGACCGCCACCCAAAACCCCTGAAAATGGCCGGTCGGAACCCCCCACTACCGAAAACCACCCCGCCGACCAAAAACAACCCCCGAAATCATCCCTGGCCCGAATACCACGCCCGAAACCACCACAACCACCACCCTTAAAACCCCACCCAGACGCCGAAACACCCCTCTAACCGCCGAAAATTATCGAAAAAACCCGAAACTCTTACCCAAATTCAACCTCAAGCCATCCCTTGAAATTGATTCAATGATTTTTTTTTTAATTCATCGATAGTAAGGGCTTCGATGGTTTTCGTGGGTGTGAAGGTTGGAATTGGGCCGGTTTTTTGCTGGGTAAGGGTAGGAACAAGGGTTCCGACTGTGGGGATGGGGGGTTCGGCGGTGGAGGAGTGGCTGCCGGAGGATGGGGTTAGGGACCTTAAAGTGTTCGTTGGGGCTGGCTGGGTTTTCAAAAAAATTAAATTAGGTTTTTTTTTTAATTTTTTTGACCATTTTTTTTGAGAGATTTTTTTGACCAATTATTTAGTAACACATTTCACTCAAATTACATAAAAAAAAAAAGTTTACTTAATGTTCAGGTTACCGGTCATAAGGGACCAATAGAAGAAGATCCCATATAAAGGTGGGATTATTAAATAATAATCTAAAGATGGGATTATTAACAGCGAATCGACTAAAGGTGGGATTATTAGAATCAAATTTTCCAAAGTTATATTGTCTTTGTTAATTGCTATCTACAAATTTAAGGGACTATTTGTGAGATAAAAAAAAGTTTAAAATAACAAATAATAATCAACGAAGGTAGTAACAAATTCAAACTAACCACATAGAACTATGTGGCAGTCAAATTTATTTTTTTATTATTAGTTTTTTTTTTTTTTTAAAAGGACGTAGTAAGTTGGATGATATGATCTACCTACCTCTTATTGATTGTTTGCATAATTTGCATTTGTACGGTCTTCAATAAAACATATGATTAATAATGAATTTAGTATTTTACTCCTACTTTTTTTATTGTTACACTTTGACCAAACAGACATACATGTTGAGATACCACTTTGACTATTATTTTCTATAAATATGTTAGTAAAACTAATAAAGGGGTTTTTTTTTTTTTTTTTTTTTTTTTTTTTTTTTTTTTTTTGAAAAGAAGAAAATGTATGTCATTAATAAAATATAGCCAAACGGCATTTACATATAATTCCTAAAAAATTAAGAATTCCAACATAAGTACACACCTTAAACTAAATACATTGTACATTTGATTAATAATCGCCTTAATAAAAAACTTCATCTGAAGCAATACAATCTGTGAATTCGCATTCATTCGGCTTGAAATCCACTGATGCGTAGTCGTTTGAGTGAAAATATTCATGTGGTCCTCCAAATTCTCATAGAGATTATGAAACCCTAGATCTTCAATTTTCACCGAACAAACACAAAAAGAAAATAAATTCAAGAGAAAAATCAACATCACAAGAATAAGATCTATTTATTTAAAGCAATTGAAAGGTTTTTGGGGCTTATTACTGGTAAAAATACCAGTGGAAGCCTATATATATATATATATATATATATATATATATATATATATATATATATATATATATATATATACATATACATATATGTATATATATACATATATACATATACATATATGTATATATATATATACATATATATATATATATATATATATATATATATATATAAGAATATTCATTGGTCGGACCATACCCATTGATTATTTTTATTTTGATAAATATATGTTCATAGGGCAATTTCTAGTTGAGTATTTTGACAATCTAATGAAAACACATTTAGCCGATGCAATTTTATGATATTTGTTTTGGGTATTTTTACCCTGCCACGTGGACCTCTCAAAGCGTGACACGTGTCACACTAGAAAGAGTCCAAAGTGGACCAACTGGGGCATGACATGTGGGAGACGAATACCCCATAAGGGATTGATGGGCTTTCAAAGCCAAATTTTCGAGACAGCTAAAAAACTGTGCAACCCACATTCCTAGGTTTCCGTGACCTAGACATGGGCACATATCTCGAGGACCCTGTAAATAGGGAGATTCTCCCATTATTGGGGCATATTCAATCATTACATCATTTATTACTCTTGAAAACAGAGAACACCTGATCTTTGAGAAGATATTTACTTTTCGTACCTTTTTACTCTGATCCGAACTTTCACTTACTTGATTGTTAGAGGCGGAACTCCAACCAACCAGAACTTTCATGGTTTTGTAGGTACATACGGTCGGAATCCAGGCTTGGTGACGTAACTCTCCCAAGGGACACAGAAAACCCCGAAACAATATCCAATACAACAATAAAGGATTTTATTTTTATTATTATCATAAAAAAATAAAGGATTTTATTTTGATATAAGTGTATGTTCATAGGGCAGGCCATGTCCTAGATACGCCCACCCCAAGAGCCATCTATACATTGTGATGTTGCAATATACTCTCTTCCTTAGAATATTTGGAATCTTTGAATTTTTTTTTTTTTCAAAAAGAGAATCTTCTAAATTTATCCCAATCTATAAAAATAAGTATAGGCATGTGGGATATGCTTTGATTCGTTTTGGTGAGTGCATTATTAATATTTAACTTTATTTTATATATAACTTTTGCTAGTTTGAGTTTAAAGATATTTGCGGTCAAATATATAAAAATTTGCATCGATTTACGTAAACAGGAACATCATTCTGAAACGGATGGAGTACTATACAACAACAATTTGTATAACCAAGACAAAACCATTATATGAATAGTGAAAATCTCGAAGTATTTGTGTATTTATATTTAATATTTCCACCGTATTTTTACAACATTTTAATATTATATATATATTTTTTTCTTTCATGGTCTCCAAACCCACTACTTTTTTTTTTTTCACATCATTAATTTTTAATAAACTATTAACCTTACTATTTTCTTTATACTATTTTTTAATACTCCCAACTACCCCACTTACCTCTTATTTTATTTAAGTCAACTAATGACCATAAATTATGTGTCAGTCAAAGTATAACGCTTATTAAAATAAGGATGGAGTACTAAATTTTTATAAAGATGATATAATCCCTTCAAATTTGAAGTCAAGCAAGGTAGGGAGAACGTAGAGTTAATGGAGTTGAGTGAAACCTTTATAAATCTATATGTTCTTTTGTTGCTTGTCATCGTTTTATTGTTTAGTTGCATTTTGTGGAGCCAGGATCTATTGTTCCCCTTGCTCGAATTTCTTTTACAAGAAGTTGTTCTCTTAGTTCAACACAACCCCCTCTCCTCTTAATTGAGTACTAATTTCATTTTCAACTTCACAAAAATAAAATAGAAATAGGCAAATTAAACAAGCCTTAGTAGCACCACCTATAGACTTGGAGCAAAAATTAGTATGCACGACTTATTAATGCGAGTGCGCTCCACAACATCAATTAAGACCTTGTTTAGTTCACCTTAAAAAAATAATATTCAATAAAAATAATTTCATTTCGGTAAAAATAAGTTAGTTCAGTAAAAATAAGTTTAGTTTAGTAAAATAAATTTCAATTCATAAAAATATTTTTCGTTCAAAAAAAATCTGTAACTGTAGAAGAAATACAATAGGGAATCAGTAAAAATAATTTTAGCTTAGTAAAACTAATTCTAGTTCAGTAAAATTAATTTCAGTTTAGCAAAAATAAGATGAAGTGAACGAGGCCTAAGTATAAATTATTGGGTTACATAAATGACATCAATGACCTGAAAAATTGCCAAATTATGATAATATACCCTTGGTCCGAATTCAAGTTAGTGTGGAGTTTTGTGAACCAGATTTGGTTCAAACTTCACAATTTACCTCAATATATATTACACAAGCTTTATCTTATTATATCTATACATTCTTGAAATATCAAAATGCCATAACAATAAATTTAAAATATAAAGTTTAGAATCGAAATAAGTGCAACCCTTAATTTACAAAACCTTAAATATAAATCATTGTATCGCTTAGGGACGATAATATTGGAAAAGAGGCCTTATTGTCATGGTAGGTTACATTAGCCTTAATTAGAATCTTTTGATGAAATTATAAATGTGATTGGAAATAACATCAGGCTTCTCTTGCTGTATGAAATGACCTACTTGTTCAAGTATGACCACATCCTCTAAGAGTGGTACATCCTTTTTCATTCCCCCTTGATGAATGTATTCC